TTGTTATTTAATGGTTGTATACAGTAGAAGATGCCTTGTTACCTGCCTCTGTTATTTATTGACTGGTTGAGAAAGACTCATCACTCAGACTGGTGTGAAGATTCTCACTCAGCTTCCCTATCCCTGGGATTAGACATGAGCCACCATGCCCCGCTACCTGCTTGTATTAAAATGCCAGAAATATTTTATGGGGGGGAAGGATGGGGGTGGAATTTGATCCAACAGTACTGTTTCCAAAAGAATGTCTGAAATTAGTAATAACCAACTTGAGCAGTTTATTCCCAGGTTCCAGGGCAGCCCAAAGCCTGTGGTTCAATTTAAAACACCGATTTTTTTTTTCCATGTAAAATACAATTATAAAGGAAACACTCCTGAGAATTCACTGTTTGGTCCTACTTAGAAGGTCACAGGAGAAGAAACTGTATGTATTTACCACAAATGAAAGTTCAAAGTGAAAAAAGATTGTTTTGGTACCCATGCAGATGGTACGGAGCAACTGATGTGTGGGATGTTGGATTTATAGTGGCAGTGAACATATGACTGACTGACTTCATGTTCCCATAGGCATTTGGAGCTAAAAAGAAATCTCAGTATATCCTACCGAAGGCAATAACCTCATCAGAAGCTATGCCTTTAAGGACCATTTGTTTACAAACTTTTGCAAAGACTTGGACTGTGATACAAATGTATGTTACTATATGCAGGCTTAAGGTTGTTCTTAGGGTGAGGTTTAAGCAGAAAGAAGAAGCTGTCGTTTTGACTGAGTAGACCTCTAACTTTGTTAATGTTTTTCATTATGACTTAGGCCTTCCAAAACTTACTTATAAGATACTATCAAAGAACTCAATGTATGTCTCCTCAAGGAGAAAGAAATTGTAACATCTAATGTTACAAGATAAATGGAAAGTTTTACTTTAAAAGTTAACTTGGAAGAATAGAGTGGAAAATTGCTTATTTAGAAATCTTTGGGCTGGGCATTGGTGGCGCATGCCTTTAATCCCAGCACTCGAGAGGCAGAAGAGGCAGAGGCAGGTGGATCTCTGTGAGTTTGAGGCCAGCCTGGTCTATAAGAGTGAGTTCCAGGACAGCTTCCAAAGCTACAGAGAAACCCTGTCTCGAAAAAAACGAAAAACAAAACAAAGTGAGTTCCAGGACAGCCAGTGCTGTTAAACAGAGAAATCCTATCTCAAAAACCCATTGTGGGGGGTGGGGAGTGGGGGGAGAAAAATGGCCAGGTCTGGTAGTGCAGGCCTTTAATCCCAGCATTTAGGCAGAGGCAGGTGGAGTTTGGAGCCAGCCTGGTCTACATACTAAGTTCCAGGACAGATAGGGCCACATATTGAAACCCTGCCTCAAATAAACAAACAAATAAAATGATGTTATGCATACTTCTGCCATTTTGTGCTGTGTGTTGATGGGAAGGAGTTGGTAGTTTCAGCATTGATAGTGTCTTTGGATTTGTTTTCCCTTCTGTCACTTTCCTACCTGTCATGTGTTCTGGAATTTCAGCTGTATGCTGTCATATCTGGCTCAGCGTTGGTGATCATAAAATGAAGGTATCAGTCAACTTGGAAAAATGATTCTTGTGTCCTGCGTATCAGGCAAGGTTAATTACGTAAAAGTAAGCAAGCACACCCATCTCCTTAGCATACACATTTGTTCACGTCTTTAATAAATGGCAACATTTCAAATTAAAAATAAGGGGAGAATTGATACCTTCTGTACTTCCTGGGGACCTGCACACACATGGCATATTGTACTTACAGAGTCTACACATAAAAAGGAAATAAATATTAAATATTAGATAAATAATAAATGATATTAAATAATAAATATTAAATAATTTAAATAAATATTAAAATGAGGATTGGAGAGATGGCTCAGAGGTTAAGAGCACTGACTGCTTTTCCAGATGTTCTGAGTTCAATTCCCAGCAACAACATGGTGGCTCACAACCATCCATTATGAGATCTGGTGCCCTCTTCTGGCCTGCAGGCAGAACACTGTGTACATAAATAAATAAATAAATAAATAAATAAATAAATAAATCTTTTTTTTTTTAATGAGTATTGGCACACACCTTTAATCCCATCACTTGGGAGGCAGAGGCAGGCGGACCTCTGTGAGTTCAAGGCCAGCCTGGTCTACAAATGGAGTTCCAGGACAGCCTCCAAAACAATACAGAGAAACCCTGTCTTGGAAAAAACAAAAAACAAAAAACAAAAAAACAGAGAGAGAATTGGAGAGCTGGCTTATCAAGTCTAACAACCTTAGTTCAGTCTCCGGGGTCCGAGTGGTGGAAGGAGGAAGCGGACCCCCACCAGTAGTCTTAGTGCCCTCCATGTACATGCCGCAGCAGGTATGACACTTGCACACAATAAAATGTAAACATTTCCTGGGCAACAATGGGTTACGAATGGGAAAACACTGACTTTTGAGTGACAACTGTGCTGGGATAGATCTGGAGAGATGGGTGAAAGGTTAGAGATAAGGCTGATAAATAGAAGCTGGGCAGGCTTGTTGTAGTGTTGAGCTGATAGGGTCCTAGATTCCTTCCAGATTCTCTTAAACAAAACAAAAACAGCAAAACCAGGAGCTGGACTTGCCATCAAGTGATGTTTTTGCAGAGAACATGGCTTTAGTTCCCAGAACACACATCAGGCAGCTTTAACTGTACCTCCAGTCCCATGAGATCCAGTGCTGGCTTCTAAGAGATTAAAGCACATGTACATAACATATATGAAGGCAAAACAGTAATACACATAAAAGCAAAACTATTTTAAAGCAGTTCCAGCGGGTGTTGGTGGCGCCCGCCTTTAATCCCAGCACTCGGGAGGCAGAGGCAGGCAGATCTCTGTGAGTTCCAGAACAGCCTGGTCTCCAGAGCAAGTGCCAGGATAGGCTCCAAAGCTACACAGAGAGACCCTGTTTCTAAACCCCCCCCAAAGAAAGCAGTTCCTTGATATACATATAATTTAACCATTTGTTGAAATGGTTACAAATGAAATGAAAACAAATTTGCATGCTAATGAGATACAGGTGACTTTAAAACTTTTTAAAATTAAATCTTGGCCAGAGAGATGGTTCAGCAGTTAAGAATACTTGTTGCTCTTACAGAAAATTCGTGTTTGAGTCTTGTCTCCCCCAGGGTGTTTCACAAGCACATGTGACTCCAGTTCCAGAGAAGCTGCCTTCTGACCTCTGGACACTAAGACATATGTGGCATGCAAACACATACAGAATGCATAAATCTAATAAAAAGCTTTACATCTGGGCTAAATACTTGAAATACCTGCAGAATGTAGAACATTTTCAATGTTTTTCAGGGTTTATCATTTGTTTATTTTGAGACAGGTCAGAGGATCACCTGCAGAGGCAGAGGTAGTTCTCTCCATCCACCTTGTAGGTCTTGGGGATAGAACCAGGGTCATCAGGCTTGGCAGCAAGTGCGTTAACACAGTAAGCCATTTTCAGTGGCCCAACCTTGAACATCTGGCCACCATCTCCCTCCATTTTAATGCTGCGATAGCACTCAGCCCTCCGGGCATGCTAGGCAAGCACTCTACTGAGTTAAATCACCAGTCCTTGGCTACTTTCTATAAGACCATCATTCTGTGTGTACATTAGGAACATTACATTGATAGCATGCACTAACGCTGGTGTGCAGATACTGCTTGGTAGTACGTATGCACTCTGCATATGAGATAGAGTATGTTGGATATTTTTTTTTTTAAGATTTTATTTATGTATACAAAATTCTGCTTCCATGTATATCTGCACATCAGAAGAGGGCACTGGATCTCATAACGGATGGTTGTGAGCCACCATGTGGTTGCTGGGAATTGAACTCAGGACTTCTGGAAAAGCAGACAGTGCTCTTAACCTCTGAGCCATCCCTCCAGCCCCATATGTTGGATGTTGAGGACCAGGGATGTAATAAAGTTCTGTGCTGCAGTATGGATGAGTACTAGAAATGCCTTGTATTCATTTTTATTCCTGCTGGACATTGCACATTCATAATCCTTTTACTGCTGCCAAATTTTGTCATCCCCACATTGAGTTACACAGCTGTAAGTTTCTAGGTGTGTAATGTGTTGAGTGGGGGTAGATCAGTAAGTGCTGTGAAGAGAAGTAAAGCAGGCCACAGAGCAAGCAAAGCAGGTTGCTAGGTTTTTGTTTTGTTTTGTTTTGTTTTGTTTCGAGACAGGGTTTCTTTGTGACTTTGGAGGCTGTCCTGGAACTAGCTCTTGTAGACCAGGCTGGTCTCGAACTCACAAAGATCCATCTGCCTCTGCCTCTGCCTCCCGATTCCTGGGACTAAAGACGTGCGCCACCACTGCCCAGCACAGGATGCTGTTTTATGTACAAGTTTATACTTATATATAAACACTGTTACTTATATGACAGTGAGGCAGAGATAAGTGTTTAGTGGTTTTAAATTTTATTTATAACGTGGGTGTGGGTGTGGGCCAGTGTGCAAGAGGCCAGTCAGTCTGAGGAGTTGGTTCTCCTACCCAAGGATTCCTCTGATTAGATTCAGGTGTGATCGGCAAAGCCCTTTGACCTGCTGAGCCTTCCCACCTAGAGGAGAGCTTTCTTTGCTGGGAGCTGCAGAGTTAGCAGTGTTCTCACCATGGTCAAGTAGCTCTGTGACCATCAGGGGGGCTACTTAGAGGAGGGATGATGGGAAACACGTAGTGGGAGCATCCTGCATCCATGAGGCCTGTGAAGGACTCTGCAAAGTCTTGACTTACACCGGATGGGATAGGAGTCCTGGGGAGTTTTGAGGGCTAATCTGAGTCCATGGTGGCAGGAGAGACCCCTCCGGAAAGTTGTCATGTCACATCCACACTCAATCTGTGGCACTCTCCCTCGTTTCCTCCCTCCTTCTGTTACCTTGTCACCCAAACAAGTGGGCCTGTGACATCACACTCTGATTGGGAAGATGAGGGACCATGACCTCTCTCCTGTCATTTAATTCTTACAGGACTCCTGTGGGAAGTCATAATGAATCCTGTTCATTACTCAAAGGGAAGTTCTGAATGTTGAAGGAAATTCCCTAAGGTCCTTCTGATCACAAAGCCTTTTGGGATGGACCTTCCCGGTGGCCCGTTTTCTGCATTGATATCTGCATAGCAGTCCAGTCCGTGCACATCCTGCCATTCATAGATGCTTCTTGGGGTGCTGGTTTTTTCTGAGAAGAGACCACCTCCTTCCTGCACTTGGTGTTGGCCATGGGCAGAAGGAAAAGCTTGCCCCCCTCTTGACACACCCTCCAGGTAATGGGCAGCTCAGACGAAGGGTGACTTGAAGGGACAGCATAGAGGAGAACTTGGACTCCCAGTTGAAACACAAACCCTCACCAATAGTGACCAATTAGGAGTCGGAAAAGTGTAAAAGTAGCACTTAACAGTTAACTGGCAAACTGTATTTTTTTAGTCATTGGTTCTATAAGAAAATAATTGGGTCCCAAGACAGGAATGACTCGTTTTCATGAATGATTATATTGATCATTGGAGGAAAATGGATACATCCCTTTTGGAAAGCAATTGAAGGAGAGAAGTGGCCAGCTGGCCAGACATGCCCAGTGTGACACCTTGAGAAGTGAGCTGCTCGCTAATGAGCAGCTGGGTCCGGCCTGGTGCAAGCAGGCTGGGGGCAACAGAAGAGTGCCTCATGTGGTGTCTTCAGCTCTTGGGTGGGGGTGGGGTGTGTTGGGGGCAGGGCTCCAGTTTGTGATCACCATGCTCACATGGCATAGAATACTGACCAAGAGACTAATTCTAGGCTCTGGTTTGCTACTTACAGGAGAATTCGGCCCCCAGATTTTTCCCTTCTCCTTCCCTGGGCATTAATTATTCATATGTAGTTACCAGAGACTCCTGTAACTGGGCATGGTTGTACACATCTGCAAGTCAGTGTTCAGGAGTTTTGGGTATAGAGGATTGCTGCAATTTAGAGGGTCGCCTGGGCCACATTGGAAGATCACGTTTCACAGACAAAAGACACATTCCCTCTGTGGAATGCTAGGTGTCCTTAGTTCCAAATTACATATGTAGAAACTGAGTCAAAAGAAAGGTTAAGCAACTTAAAATCCCTGCACCCAACTGCTTATAACTCTAGCTCCAAGGGGATCCAATGTCTTGGCCTCTGCAGGCACATGCACTTACATGCTCATAATTAAATTAAATCTTTAAGAAATAGTCATATACTAGGAACTGTGGAAATGACTCAGCGGTTGAGAGCACTGGCTGCTCTTCCAGAGGACCCAAGTTCAGTTCCCAGTTCCCACATGTTAGCTCACTCCTGTCTGTAACTCCAGTTCCAGGGGAATCTGATACCTTCATACCAATGCACATAAAATAAAGTTAAATAAATTATTAAAAAAAGAAATAGCCATAGACAGAAAGTCACACAAACAAAAGTACAAAGTATGAGTACATGGAAGGCAGAGTGAGTACACAGGCCGCAGTGTCTAGTGTCTGGCATCTGGCGTTGGACAGGCTTCATCTGAAGGCCTTAACTCAGAGAGACCTCTCTTGTCCCTCGGTCAACACAGCAAATCCCCGGCATCACATACTGTGTACTCCACCCTCACTCTATAGACTATGAGCTGTTTGTTTGTTTGTTTGATAGGGTCAGTTAGCAGTGGGTATGGGATAAAGTGACAGCAAGAGTTGTCAGGGACAACATGCATGGAGGCCTAGAGGTGGAAAAGAAGCAGCGGCTCTAGGGAGTGACAGGTGTTGCAGAGACATTTGTGTGTGGCCGTAAGGGGACGGGAAGGCAGGGGAGGTTTGTGCAGGTGTGTGACAGGCTCAGATGATCCTGTAGTTACGATCTTAGTTCAGTGGGGACTGTTGATCAAGTGTCAAGGCTGCAGAGTTGGCCTGTAGCGTTAGGTCAGCAGCGAGGCTTTTGTCAGAGGTGTATGAGGCAGTCCACTCCTTTCCAAAGAAACCAGAGGAAGTTCCAAGAGAATTCTCCCCAAATGTCCTTCCCTTGTCTTTGGTCTGCTGGGGCCCAAGAGGGAACGATAGACGCGCATATTGGAGTAGCTCAGTGAGAGAACCCACTGTTTACAGAGCACAGTACAATGGAGCCTCCTCTTGGGTCTTTGGGCTCACAGAGGATTTGGGATATAGACACTGCTGTCTCGAAGTCTTTGCTTGCCTTTCTCTTTGTATCTGTGCCTCTTCCCTGACACGAAGTGGGGGGGGGGGGGGAAGGGATGAAGCATTGGATGTGGCTCCCCTGGGATCAGAGCCCTGCTTTTCTCCTGGCCCGGCCTTGGCTGCTGAATCCCATGCTGAATTCCTGGCAGTAGCTTCCCATTTCCCTTCTCTGAACCTTTAGCTCTCCTCCAGTCAAGCCAGCTGAGAACAGTCTCTAGTCCTGCAGAGGAGGAGAGCCGGGCCTTGGGCCAGCAGTGTGGCCCATCAGGTAATGTGCTTGCTGCCAAGCATGACAGCCTGAGTTCATCCTCAGAACCCACATGGTAGGAGATGCCCAGCCTTTAAGTTGTCCTCTGACCTCTACACATACACAGACGTACATTAACTTTTGTTTGTTTGTTTGAAACAGGGTCTCACTAAGTAGCTCTAGCTGTCCTGGAACTCATAGAGATCTGCCTATCTCTGCCTCCTAAGTGCTGGGATTAAAAATGTGAGCCACCATGCCTGGCCAATGCATGAAATTTTTTGTTTGTTTTTGTTTTTCAAGACGGGGGTTTCTCTGTATAACAGTCCTGCCTGTTCTGGAACTCAGTCTATAGACAGGTTTGCAGAGGACTTAGACTTGGCCAGGCTTAGGGGAAACTGTGAGGTTCTGCCTCAGCAGTAGTTCAACAGGGGAAGTAAGGTAGATTCTGGGAAATAATGGCTTGGTTGGCAACATAGGTTGTTGTGGGGTGTTTTTGGGTGGGGGGGGTAGTTCAAGACAGGGTTTCTGTGTGGTTTTGCAGGCTGTCCTGGAACTAACTCTTGTAGACTAGGTTGGTCTCGAACTCACAGAGATCTGTCTGCCTCTGCCTCCTGAGTGCTGGGACTAAAGGCATGTGCCACCACCACCTGACAGCAACATAGTTTTTAAAAGTGGCTATTCATGTGTGCTGGGGGAACTATTGACAAGTTTGAGTGATACTTAGAGGAATTTGGTATAAGTCTTACTTTCTGCCTTGCTGGGCTTTGAAAGAACAGTGTTCAGCTTCCTTTCCTGGCACAGCCTGATCTTTGGATAACCTAGAGTGCAAAGGGGCTTTTGGTCCGGGTCAGGGCCAGTATCACCTAACTGTTCCTGCTCCCCACTCTGTTGCTTCCAGCTGTTTTCATTTGTTCTTGTCTGTCTTGTCTTTCCCCACAGGGCAAACTGGGGCTGTCTGAGAGGTCCCTGGCACATGGCTGAGAAGCACAGAGGAAGGAGCTTGGTCAACAGTTGGTGAGGGAATGAGTCACCCAGGGCTTTCTGGCAGGAACAGCTGGTTCTTATCAATTCTCTTCAAGCCAGCAGCCAAACACCTCTGTCCCCTCAGTCTTCTTTGTGAAGGCAAAGTGTCAGGTTGTTTCCACAGATGGAAGTCCAAGGCACTGGAAAGAGTGGCTTTTCATTTGGTTGCCACAGGAGCCTGCACTTTACATCTGTGTCTTGGTCATTGGTTCTCTTTCTGTAGAACAAAACAGTTTAGTCCCAGCACTTGGGAGGCAGAGGCAGGTGGATCTGTTAGTTCAAGGCCAGCCTAGTCTCCAGAGTAAGTCCCAGGACAGCCAGGGCTATTACACAGAGAAACCCTATCTCAAAAAAACAAAACAAAAACAGTATGATAATCATTAAATCAGCCACTGGGAATCATGTACATACTTATAATCCCAGTACTTGGGAGGATCAGGAGTTCAAGGTCATCCTCAGCTATATAGTGTGTTCAAAGCTAGCCTGGGCAGACCCTTCCTCTGCTCGTCACTATGTACTGCTGTAAATGAAGAGCTAGGATCTATTGTGAGCACTGCCGTACACCAGAATTGCTGAGGACGCTCCATCTCCAAAGATTGGATTCATTCCATTCTCAGGAGGGGTCTGGGCGGTTCTGTGGAGTTGGGTTAAGGTCACCTTGGCTAGATGGTCTTCCAAGTCCCACTCCCACTCAGCTGGTGTTGAGGAAAAGAGGGACGGTATGGACCTTGATTGCTTTAGAGCAGGACTTGAAATGTTTCTATCCAAACCCCCTTTTCACCAGAATGTGACTCTGGGTTCATGGGTATTAGTGGCAATAATCAAGAAATGTATTTTAAGGGCCAACAGGATGACTAAGGAAATGAAGGTGTGAAAAACACTTGTTTGGTATATACATGATGGAAGCAGATTTGCACACCAATGGATGCACTATTTTTACATAAATCATGAACTCTTTGGTTTTGGTTTTGATGTGTGGGTTTTGTTTCACCAGGTGTGTGCCTGGTGCCTGCAGAGGCCAGAAGAGACTGTCAAATCCTTCAAACTGGAGTTACAGGTGATTGTGAACCACCATTTGGTTCTAGGAATCAAACCTGGTTCCTCTGTAAGAGCAGCAACTGCTCCTATCCCCGGAGCCATCTCTTCAACCCTTTCTTGCCCTTTTGAGATAGGGCCTTGCTATGTATACCAGGCTGACTTCAAACTTGTAACCGTCCTGACCTCTTTTTCCCGAATGTGTGGCTACAGAAGTATACCACACTAAGCAAAAATTAAATTAAATCAAGGTTGAATATTTGATATTATAGGATGTAGGTCATCTTCAGTGTTTTTCAGAGTTGATTGATACTTAAATTTCCTGATCATCAGTGTTGGGAACACTGTTTCACATGAGTACATAGTATAAAATGATATGTGTAGGGCTATTTCAGAAGTTGTTGGAAATTCTACCTTAATTCTGCCCAAATTCATTTCATATTTTTTAAAAATGAAACTCAAGTTAACAACAACTCAAACAGCAATTTTTATAATCAAACATTTTGGTAATATTCTCCAAAGGTTCACTAATATGATATTTAAATGCCAAGGAATGACAGTAGGAAAATACTCTTTTTTTTGTAATTAAACCGCTGTGTTTCTGTATGATCAGGTAACTCTGAGCACACAGGGAAAACCCTGAGTTCTTAATACGGCAGTGTCATAGTTGTTTCCAGCAGGATTTGCTGGCATTGAGTGTGGAGAAGTCATGACATGGGCAGGAGCTGCCAGAAACGGATTGGAACCATTTTGTGGGTTTTGTTGTAGTTATTGTCTTAAATTACTTATATATATATTTTTTTTTAAAAAAGTGTTTAGGCCAGCCAGTGGTGGTGCACGCCTTTAATCCCAGCACTCGGGAGGCAGAGGGAGGCAGATCTCTGAGTTCGAGACCAGCCTGGTCTACAAGAGCTAGTTCCAGGACAGGCTCCAAAGCCACAGAGAAACCCTGTCTCGAAAAACAAAAAACAAAAACAAAAAAAAGTGTTTGTGTGTGCACGTGTGGAGGTCAGAGGACAACTTGAGAATGTCAGTTCTCTATTCTTTCCTTCCACCATGTTGGCCCCAGGGATTGGACTCGGGTTGTCAGGCTTGGTGGCAGATACCTTCACCTGCTGAGCTATCTCAATGGTCCCACAGCCCTTCTTGGTTTGGTTTTGTTGTCTTTTAGAAGTAAAGTCTCACTCTGTAGTTCAGGCTGTCCTGGAACTCAGCACGTAGCTCAGTCTTCTTGGCCTTAATGTCCTAAATTCTGGGATTATAGGGTTGTACTGTCATGCCTAGTTGAGAAGCTGTGCCTGAGGGACAGCAGCAGAGATGGGGACCAAGACACCGATTCCACGTTCTCTTACCACATAGCTTCAGCTGAATGGTCTGTTTCCTTTATACAATTGAACTTTGTCCTTAACTTCCTTTTGTTGAAAGGGAGACTACCTGGGGGTGACAGTATCCTCAGGTTAGCTTTTAAAATGTGCCATTCTGGGGACTGGAGAGATGGTTCAGAGGTTAAGAGCACTTGTTGTTCTTCCAGAGGTCCTGAGTTCAATTCCCAGCAACCACATGGTGGCTCATAACCATCTGTAATGAGATCTGATGCCCTATTCTGGCCTGCAGGCATACATGCAGACAGAACCCTGTATACATAATAAAGAAATCTTTAAAAAAATAAAATAAGGTGTGCCATTCTTTAGTTAGGTCTCTCTATTTCGACTCTTAGTCTGTGGTTGATACTTGCCTCTCTGTGCCCTGACCCACGTGAGAATGAGCTAAGCAATGGAAACCCGTAGGTTGCTTTCTTGCTACCCTGTGTCACACCCAACTGGCTGTTTCCCTGCCACTGTTGCTTGTGTTCAGGAGGGACAAGCTCATTTCCATGTGAACACAGGCAAAGTGTAATTAGGACAATAAATCAGCGGGTTAACAAAAATGGTCCTGGTGGATTTCAAGCCCTACTAAGAATACGTATACTCACACTAAAAAACAGAGGTATAGAATGAGACTTAAAGAGACTGGGAATGGTGGCATGGACCTTCATTTAATCCCAGGTACTTGGACATTGAAAGCAGAAGGGTGACTAGTTCAAGGCTGCAAGGATGCACTAGTGAGCCCCTGGGGAATAGCTTATTAGAGCAGCGCTTGACCAGCATGCACCAGGCCCTAATGTCTAGCCCATTCTGACACACACAGTACTGGAAATTTCTTCTCAGAAGCAGCCCTAGAGCTCCCCAAGCTCAGGACTGGGCCCTGCCCAACCTACTGTCTCCCTGAATGTCTCTTGACAACAGGTTTTTCCAGCCTGGTGGAGCAGTTGATTGGCAAGTGTGCTGACTGTCCAGTGCTTCCTGGCTCCTACTCTGCCTGTATTCTGTCTCTCCTGGGAAGATGTTCCTGGTGGGCCTAACGGGAGGCATTGCCTCAGGCAAGAGCTCCGTCATCCAGGTGTTCCAACAGCTGGGCTGTGCTGTGATTGATGTGGATGTCATTGCCCGGCACGGTGAGTTGGAAGGGGACCCGTTGTACACAGCAGCCTCCTTATGCTTCCTTTCTTCCAGCAGCCTCCTCCTCTTGGACCTTCCGAGAGTGAGGCTGTCCTAACGGTTTGCCTGTCTCTGCTCCTGCTTCCCTTAAGGCTCTCTGCTTATTCTTCTCCCTAAACTCAGCTCCATCCCTGGCTGGGGGTCCTGTGTGCTTTGCTCATTCCCTCAGTTTATTTGCCTGTGGTCATTTGGGGTCTTCTGGACTCTGGATGGCTGGAGGCTCTGGATTGACCCAACCTCTTCATGCCACAGTCGTCCAGCCGGGGTATCCTGCTCACCGGCGTATTGTACAGGCCTTTGGCACTGAAGTCTTGCTGGAGAATGGTGACATCGACCGCAAGGTCCTTGGAGACCTGATCTTTAACCAGCCTGACCGTCGGCAGCTACTCAATTCCATCACCCACCCTGAGATCCGCAAGGAGATGATGAAGGAGACCTTCAAGTATTTTCTCCGAGGTGAGACTTTAGACTTGGGAGCTGAAGGGGACGGACAACCTCCTTCTGAAGCCTTTCTCTATTTTAATCACTCCAGGGTAGGTAGGGTTGTGGTTATCTGGCCTGCTGAGTTCACACTATTTATTGGCATGGAGACTTCCTACCAGCCTTTGGTATATATGGCCTCTAGTCTGTTCCTCTAAGTAAAGGCCTAGTGGCCTAGCTCCCCCATCAGTCGTAGTGTGGGGACTATTTCCTGGCGAGTATGGGATCCCTTTTGGTTGTCTTCAAGTTTTCCCACTGTAACCATGGCCAGGCCCTTTATCCTTCATGCCTCAGGTTCTTGTGTACAGAGTAAAAGCCCTCTCCCTAATACGTTCTTGGGACAGTACTTCTCTCTAAAAGGTTATGACGAGAAGCATCTATGCTGTTGACCCAAACCTACCCTAAAGTGCTAGAGAGGCTGGAGCTGGCTTCTAGCACCTGCTGCTCTAACCCCTTTTGCCATTTGTCCCCAAGACACTCTGCCAAAGTCATCTTTCTTCTTCCTTCAAGAAGAGTCTGGACTCTGCCTTTGTCTTCCCCCACTGTCTGCCAACCCACTATGCCACTGCTCCCCTCTGCCCACCCTGCCTGGCAAAGCCTTCTGCCTTTCATTCCTGCCCTTTACATTTGCTCCCAGGCCAGCTCTCAGTACATTTGCAGGGCTGTGAGGCACCAGTGGCTTCCTCCTTCTGAAATTAAGCATTGGATAATGTCACCAGCTCCAAAGCTCTCCTGTTGTGTCATCCACCCAGCCTCCCCACCTCCCCAACCACCACCACTTAAATAAAAGCCAGAAATTCTTTTCAGTTCGATAAGGTGAAAAATGGGGACGACAGCTGTGGCTTCCACAGTCCCGGTTTCTCCCTGATGAGTATAACAAATACAACTGTCAAAGTTGGTATAATCAAACGTCAGATAAGATCACCAGCTGTTGGGGAGGTCTCTGCGTAGGCAGGCGGATGTCTTAATAGAGTCAGGACAGTTTCAGGGCTTATCAAGTAGGAGAGATGTGACAGCTGAATAGCCTTTTACCAGTAAACCATAGAGCTGGCTTCCAGCTCCCAAGAGGGACCCAGGAGAAAGGACAGGAAGAGGGGAGGGAGGGAGGGGAGAGGAACAGGAAAGGGAGATAAGAGGCCCCAGGGAGGATCCAGTTTTTTTCTCTGTCTTTGAGCTGGAGAGGGTGAAATGGGAGGTGGAGAGGCTTAATGCCAACCTCCCTCCTCCCAGGAACAATAGCAGTGACACCTATCGTTTAGCGGCCACTTAGCTGAGGGGCTTAGCTGCTGCTCAGTGTTGTGTGCATTCAGAGCTCGTGTAATCTTGCCCATCACCCTGTGAAGCAGGGATTCCTTTCATTCCTTACACAGATTAGTTTTGTTAAGGACCTGCAGTCACATGGGGCGCTACAAACTAGGGTGTGCTAGCAGAGCTCAGGAACCCCATGCCCTCATCAACCAAGGCTTCTCTTAGGCTTACCGGGCCACCGGTTGTCGAGAGCAGCAGTCCTGGCAGCTAGTGTGTGGTTCTGTGGTTGACGGTGTCTGGAATGGGTGCCGTCCAGGCCCCAGGTCTGTGAGCAGCATCTGTCCCTGCTGCTGCCTTTTATCCCTTCCATCTTTGTTTGTCCACACGGGGCTCAGGGAGCAACAGGAGTGCACGTAACTCTCGGGGACGTGCCCACCCATGTGTGGGAGCACATCACCACTTCCAGCCTGGACTGGAGAGGACCCGAGGTGCCCTGTCTCCATTGAGGGAGCCCTGCAGTTAACTGAACCACCCTCACTGCTCTGGGATAGTACATGTCTCTCACAGAAAGCCACAGAGGTAGTATTGGTTTCCTTAAAAGGCATCCATGTCTGGACCTGACTTCCAGGAAAGGGCCTGTGCTTTGGGTGTTTTGAGCCAGTGTAAGATGAAATAGGGCAGAAAGGGACTCAGCATCTCCCAGAAACTTCCCAGTTGCCTACAACCTTGACTATGTCTTGTCTCAGGTTAGAAATAACTTTTGGGGTTGAAGGTCAGGGTTGACCCAGACCACCTAGTCTTTGATGTACTGTGCTCCAGACCCCCACCTAGTCTGCACAGGACCTCCCAGCTCCTGGGTTCTGCTGGTCCTTATCGGAACTCCTGGCCTCCACCTTCTCGTTCCGAGTATCCACATCTTCCCTGCTTTCCAAAGCTAGTGCAAATGCCAGTCCTTCTCCAAGGTCCCCCCCCCCCCCCCCCCCCCACGCCGCGCCC